TGAGTCAATCTCTTACAACAGATAAAAGGAGTAGATTAGGCAGGCAGAGATGGGGAAAGATTGATGCCAAGACACATGGAGATCTCCAAGGAACCAGGAAACAGAAGCTGAAGAGACAAGGACCTTCCTCCAGAGGCAACAGAGAGAGAAAGCCTCACCCTAGAGCGGACGCTTTGTATCAGAACTTCTAGCCGCCTAAACTGTAAGAAAATAAATTTGTTTGTTAAAGCCATTCACTCGTTGTATTTGTTATAGTAGCACTAGGTAACAAAAACAATACCCAAAAGACTTGAAAGCAGAGACTCAAAGACTTGTACACCAATTTTCACTGCAGTACTATTCACAACAGCCAAGAGGTAGGAACAACATAAGTGCCTATCAACAGATGAATGGATAAACAAAATGTGGTGCATACATACAACAGAATGCTACTCAGCCAGCAGGAGAAATGAAGTCTTGATAGATGCTACAGTATGGAGATGGAGCTTGAAAACATTATGCTGAGCAAAATAAGCCCATCACAAAAGAACAAATATTATATGACCTCACTTATATAAAAAGACAAGAAAAGGCAAATGTATAGAAACCAGTTTATTAGTGGTTACCAAAGGCGGGAGGGAGGGGGAAAAAGGTGGTTAACAGTGATAGAAAAATCGCACTAATTAAGGTAGGGTTGCACAGCTGATTATTACAACCACTGTCAATAAGTTGTATACCTATAAAAAGTTTAATTGACAAAAGTTGTGTGATAGATCTATTTACAAAAAAAAGAGTAGCTGCTGAGGCTGCTTATGTACAACCAAATACCTCATGGGATTTGGTTCCTTGGTTTGGAGGTTTAGGGTCATGGTTTCATGGTACATCCCACTTAATTGGCTTAATAACGTGTTTAGGGCTTCTGCTCTAACTCCTAGTTCGCTGCATAGTGCCTGGGGTCTTAAAAGTTTGCAAGAGGCCATCCAAGGCACGACAATTGGTCTCTATTCACCTAAAGCAACACAGGAAGAAGGAGAGTTATCAATAGAAGGAGAATATGGAACGTGTAGCCAATTGCCTCCATGAGCAACTGCCTCCTTTGCCGTGAGAAAAGAACAATCGGATGGTACCCAGCTACGATTACTGAACATTTCAATCAAACATTCCATAAAGGAATCCTGATCAAAAGGGGACAATGCAGAACAGAATTTCAAATTCTCATGCACTCCAGACTTTCTGGAGCCATGGAGGCTGGATGAACCCCTGAAACTATTACCCTGAGATAATCTTTAAAACTTAAATCAAAACTATCCCCTGAAGTCATCTTAAAATCAAACAATAGTTTAGTTCAACTAGTAAAAAAAGGTCTGCCTTGAGTGTGATGCTCTTTTAAGAACTATCTATATGGGATGAGATTGTCCACAGTAACTCGAAAGATTAGATAGGAATCTTATGAGTTCTGTTAATGAGTTTCTGTTAACAACCCAGAAAAGAAGGGTGAGAATGGTTACACAACTGGAAGAATGTAATCAACGTCACTAAATTGTACACATAGAAAACTGTTGAATTGGTATATGTTTTGCTCTGCATATTCTCAATAACAACAAAATAAATGAAATTTAAGGAAAAAAAAACACAAATTAAAACTTAAAGGAGTTACCAGGGGTTTTTAAGGGGTACAGGAATTGGGGGTGGTAGGAGTTAAGCATCATACTGCTGTTTTTTTAATACGTTCTTAGGAATGATATGACTATATTTCACAGAAAATACACACACACACACATATATGACCTTACGTGTTAAGAAAATTAAAAATTAAAAAACTACTACCCTTATATTTGGAAAGAAAAAGATCAAAAAGCATACAGAGCATGAAGCTAGCAGCTCCATGACAGAACAGAGAGGTGTTCCTGAATATTGCTTAGGGCTACACATGGTAATAGAAGGCACAGGGTAGTAGACACCTCCACCTTCAACATCTCGCAGCTTTGCAACCCCTGAGGAGTGTGTCTCTCTCTCAGTGAATTGATATAAAATCCCAGAAGAAACCTAGCAGGCCTTAGGTGGCACATTCATCCCTAAACCAAGCAATGTGGCCAGGGTGATGCAGGCCCCATAACTGACCAGGCTTTGGTCACATACCTTCCTCAGTGGCTGGGAAGGCTGGGCAGCCCCTATAGGACCACCTGGAACAGAGGAGGGACAGGTCTCTAACATGAATGGAGGGGTGTCACTCTCACCAGGAAAACACCACAAAAACAAAAGTCATACAAGAAAGGAAAAATAATCACAGTACATGAGTACATGGGTTAGCTGAACAATGTAACACTTGATAAATATTAGTTTTAACCAATTTGTATTAAAAAAAAAAAAAAACTGGTAGATTACAAAAGGACAAAAATGTTTTGCCACTTTCAAAACCAAGAGGCAGAGCCTATTTCTCTATCACCCTGAATCTGGTCCGGGCCTGTAATTGCTTCCACCAACAGAATATGGCAAAAGTGACACTCTGCCAGTTCTCATCCTAGCGTTTAAATGGACTAGCTGGATTTGCGTCCTCCTTCTGGCAACCAGCCACCATGCTGTGAGGAAGTCAAAGCAGCTTATGGAAAGGCCCACATTGGGGAGAATCATCAGCCATGGTCTGTAACAGTACCAACAAGCCAGCCTTGTGAATGAAACCAGCTGAAACAATGTTGAGCAGAGACAAGCTTACCCAAGCAAATCATACACAAATTCCAAAACTATAAACAAACACATGTTGTTTTTTTCAGCCACTAAGTTCCAGGGTAGCTTATTATGTAGGAATAGATAACTGGAAACACGAAGACAGTGGGAAGAAGTGATGAGGGAAAATGGGAAGGAAAGAGTATAAGAAAGTTAAATCCTCATATTCCACAGATGAACTTAATCTATAATATATAAATCTGAAAGTTCTAAAATTAGCAAAGGAAGCAAGCTGCTTTTTAAAATATAGACAAACACCGAAGACACAGCTAAAAGAACAGAGGTTGCCTTGGGGAACGGGAATAAAGGCGGTAGAGTGAAGCAGAGGACTATTTTTGGCTAAGAGCCTCACAGAACAAACGGTCTTCAGTGTACATCTTTTAGTTTGATAACGGAAAAGATAAACTGGAAAGATATCTAAGCACTATGGTTGGTGAGCTTATAGTTATTTTCCTTTCACTTTTCTGTATTATAAATTTTTTTATAAACTTTATTTTGATTGTAAAATTAATAATTAAGCTTTCTACTTTGCCATAATGATGTATCAGGAAATTGTGCATCCTTGAAAATAAAATGCTTGTAGGCTTTAGGCTGAAACTCACAACTTAGTCTCTGCTACATCATACCCTGTCCATCATTCCTGTGCCAGGGAACTCACAGTTGAAGGAAGAAGAGCAGCGAGGTAGGGTGTCAGGACCAGGGCAGCTGCAAGGGACCAGCTCAGAGATCTCTGGCCAATAACTGAATAAGAGAAGCAGTCTACGGATACCAAAGGAAGCAACAATAGCTCCTATGAGACAAGGGCAACCCACAAACAGGGCACAATCAAGAACAGGGCCAGGCTCAAAGGTCCAGCAGCTCCACTTACACCCAGTGCCTGTACTCCATGGACTAGCATGCTCTGCCCCAAGGATCCACCTTGGACTCTGCAAGAGGTGGAAATGAGGAACAAAGACAATACGTGTTCACTTCTAATGCGCCATCAGGACACAGATTTTGCTATTTTAGAAGCGTATCAGCCTACAAAAATGACCAGGACCTCCTCCCCAAATGAAGTAGAGAAGGTAATGACCTATGATTTTGTTATTTCTTCTTCTGAACCAATAGATACTCCTCAATAGTACTCTAGTTGACTCATTGGAGGGGGCCTGGTAGGAGGGCACGTCTCTGCCTTGTTTCTGCCCTTTATTGATTTAATCTGCTAATTCATTAAGATCCCTTTGAACAAAGCAAAGGCAGCCTGAAGCATACTATATCGTTGTTGTGTGCTGTTGAGTCGATTCTGACTCATAGAAAGCCTACAGGGCAGAGCAGAACTACCCCCATAGGATTTTCTAGGCTGTAATCTTTATGAGAACAGATCGCCAGGTCTTTTCTCCTGTGGAGCCCCTGGTGGCTTCAAACCACAGACCTTTCAGTTAGCAGCCAAGCTCTTAACCACTGTGCCACCGGGGCTCCTTGTAACATACTGGTAACTAAGAAATCCACGAGATTAGCCTCTAAAAAGTAGACACTGGACAACAAGAATCACTATCATTAGTTTTAAAAGCATGATAAGCAGTTGAATTTTGAGGAAACAAATACTTTTTTTTTTTTTTTTTTTGCAGATTTCAGAACTCAACAGAAAAGAACTCAATAACTGTCAAGCATGATATATAACCCCAACTCATCCTCCACAAATAAAGTACTCAATTTTAGATAAACAACAAAAGAGAGGCTATGACCCAGCAATCCCAATCCTAGGTATATGCCTAGAAGTAAAAGCAGGAACGCAAATAGAAACCTGTACACCAATGTTCACTGCAGCACTTTTCACAATAGCCAAAAGGTGGAAACAGCCGAAATGTCCGTCAACAAATGAATGGATAAGCAAAACGTGATATATGCATAGAATGAAATATCACTCACCCTAAAGAGAAATGAAGTCCTGATACATGCCACAACATGGATGAACCCTGAAAACATCATCCTGAGTGAAGTCGGACACAAAAGGACATATACTGTATGACCTCACTTATATGAAATAAGGAAATATACAAACATTATTAGTGGTTAGCAGGAGTGGGAGAGAGGAGGAAAGGAGAGCTTTTGCTTAAGCGGCACTGAGTTTATGTTAGTGGTGGTGAAATAATTTGGAAAAGGATGGCGACAAAGGTTGTACAACTTGAAGAATGAAATCAATGTCACTGAATTGTACATGTAGAAAATTGTTGAACTGGTGTATGTTCTGCTGTGTATATTCTCAACAACAAAAATAAATGATTAAAAAATAAACCAACTTGTACAACCACTCTTACCCTCCTTTTCTGAGTTGTTCCTCCCCAAACTGGTGCAGGTTTCGTTGTGTATATTTCCACTGCAATAAAGAGAAAGAGAACAAAACGGAGGAAAAATCTTAACTTTCTCATATGCAACTTTCTCAATAGTCTCATTTTGTTTAAGCTTTCATTTTGGGTAGTGCTGCTTCTACTGAGGCATTATTTAGGGAAGAGTAAATTGCTTGAAGGAGCCCTTGTGGCACAGTGGTTAAGTACTTGGCTGCTAACCGAAAGGGCGGCAGTTCAAACCCACCAGCCGCTCCGCAGGAGAGAGATGTGGCAGTCTGCTTTTGTAAAGATGACAGCCTTGGAAGCCCTATTGGGCAGTTCTACTCTGTCCTACAATTCTACTCTGCCCTGTAGGGTTGCTATGAGTTGGAATCGACTCGATGGCAATGGGTAAGGTGCCTGAAGTTAGAAAAACTTCTCTGTGCTCTCCCGCCAGCTCTGCCTTCATCTGAGGCTATCACATGGAAGAGGAATCTGAAGTAGAAGGGAAGAAGGGGCACTCAGGAGGAGGACTGCTGTCAGGGGCTGATGACCCAGACACCAGACACTGTTCAGCACCATCCAGCTCACATCCCCAGACCAAACTCGAGAAGCTTCTAAGTCAGCCACTTTTCCCTCACCACCCTCCAGTCCTAACTGTGCTGCGTGCTCTCTATCTGGTCAAAAGAACAGTGTCCAGGGCTGACACTCCTACTGATGACATCTCAACATGCAGTCATGTACTCCACTCACTCAGTGTGCCTACACTGAGCCCTGCCATGTGTGGCATGGCACTAGGGATACAGAAGGGAGACAAGCCTCCCTGTCTTCATGGAGCTTCCATTCAAGGGACAGATGATAAATAATAAATGTAATAAGTAAGGTGGACAGTGCAGTGGAAAAAAATAATCAGGGCAAAGGGATCAGGAGAGCGGGGGCAGGTAAAATTTTAAAGGGAAGTTGTCAATGAAGGCTTGAGAAGCTGGTATTTGAGCAAAGGAAGTCAACAAAATTTTCCTTATTTCTTAATATGTTTTCCCTTACTTGATTCTGAACCCCAAAACTGAAGCAAGCATAAATGCTTAGAAAAAGAATATTTTATCTGGACCGTGAACAGCATCTCCATCCACTTCTGTCTGACACCTCTCCCCTAATGTCGCTCATATCCAAACCAATAAACCTTATCAATTTTAACCCGAAATTATTCTTAGCCCACTTCTCCTCAAGCCCACAATCTCAATCTTAGTCAGCCACCATCCCTTTCCACCAGGATTAACACCAGAGTCTCCTAACAGGCTGTCTCAGTTTACTCTAAGGCAGTGGTTCTCAACTTTGAGAGCATCAGAATTACCTGAAGGGCTTGTTAGAACACAGACTGCTGGGCCTCAAACCCTCAGCTTATGACCCAGTAGGTCTAAAGTGGGACCTGAAAATCTGCATTCCTACCACGTTCCCAGGTGGTGCTGATGCTGCCAGTCAGGACAGCAAACTTTTGAAAGCCACTGGCCTAGGTTACGATGAAGTTGTTGCTGTCATCAGCAACCATCAATTTGGCAGTAACAAGCCCCAGATCACTTGTGACTTGGCTTAACGTGAAGGTTTCTTCCTTGCTGAAAGTACACATCATTTACAGGTCACCTAAGAGGCTCAGCACCCAAGCTGAGAGTGGCCCCACCCTTGTGTTCCTGTAGTTAAGAGATAGGAAAAGGGAATGTGACAAAGCACACCTCTCTTAGAGCTTCCACCCAGAGTAACACAGCACTTTCTGTTGGCCAAAGCAAGTCACATGGCCACACCAAACTTCAAAGAACTGGGGCAATTTAACCCTACCAGGCACCAAAGCAGGGAGAATTGGAAAGATAGGAACCTGAACAGACTGAGTTACCACCAGATCAGGCTCCCATACTCACAATTCCCTCCCTTCAGCCATCACCAATTCAATCTACAGAGGACTCTTGAGGAATGAGCTTTTCTACACGAAATGCTTTCATGTCACGTACCCACTAAAAACCCTTTACTCACAGCGACCCCATACGGTTTCTAAGGCTGTAAATCTCTAAGGAACCAGACTGCTACATCTTTCTCCCACGGAGCCACTGGTGGTTTTGAACCACCAACCTTTTGGTTAGCAGCCAAGTGCTTTAACCATTGTGCCACCAGGGCTCCTTAAAACCCTTTAAAAAACCAAAACCAAACCCGCTGTCGTCAAGTCGATTCCAACTCATAGAGACCCAATAGGACAGAGTAGAACTGCCCCACAGCGTTTCCAAGGAGTGGCTGGTGGATTCAAACTGCCGGCAGCCGAACTCTTAACCACTGTGCCACCAGGACTCCTACAATGCTTTAAGGGCCTCATATGATATTAAGATGAAAATCCTCCCTACTGTCAAAAAGAATGTGCTTGACACCCAGGTGCCTCTCGAGCCTTGTTTTGCACAACAGTTCCCCTTACTCTGCTCCTGCCACAGGGTCTCTGCATAAGCTGTTCCCTCTACCCAGAATCTTCTGCCCACCTTCTACCGAGTTAACTCCCAAGCACCCTTCAGCTCTCTGCTCCAGAGTGAATCTCACCAGAAGTCTTTCCTGACACCCCAATCCCCATTTAGGTCCAATCTCCCTATTAGATGCACCCCTGATCTTTCCTTCATAACCTTCTTTTTGCCTTTTATTATGGAGAATTCTGAATATACATAAAGGTAGAATAGATAGAACCCCAAGTACCCACACCACCATCAACCTAGGGCCAATGGCCAATCCTGTTCCAGCCACACCCTCACCCATTCCTTCTTCCATAGAATTGCAAAGCCAATCCCAGATGTATCATTTCATCTGCAAATATCTGTATGCATCTCCAAAAGGTAAGGATTCTTAAACATAACAACAAAACTACCATCACAGCTAAAAACATAATTCCTTGAAAACGAACCTAGTCAGGGCTCAAATTTCTGATAACAACAAATGAGTATCTCAAATACCCTAAGTGATGTCTAGTTGTGTTTCTATGACTAAATCAGTCTGACTCAGATGAAAATAAGCTCTAAATGTTGCAATTAGCTGATATGCCTCCAATCTCTTGTCATCCACAGCCCCCTCCATCTTTTTTCTTTCTTTGTTGAGGAGACCAGGTTATTGGTCTTGCAGTTTCCCACATTCTGAGTTTTGCTGATGGCAACCCTGTAAGTGTATTCTGGCAAGTCCTCCCCTCTGTGTTTCCTGTGAATCAGTAGTTGAATTTACGGGCTTGATCAGTCCAAGTCCAAGTCAGATTCGATTTGTGGCAAGGTTGTGTCACAGGTTTTTCACAGATATGATCTTCTGTTTAATGTCTCCCTCCCATTTCTCCCCACACACAGGTCTGTAAGTTCTGAGACCAAGGACTTAGGTTTTTGCTCATTCCTGGCACACAGATGATAATCATTTGTTTGATGAATAAAGAAACCTTGGACAGAAGGACACTGCCATACTGACTAATGGAAGCATAACAGCCCACCTCCCTGCACGTACAGTTTTATGTCAAAACGTTCCCTAGAGTTCCCAGGGAACAGAATTAGAGGCCAGGCCCTGCAAGGGCTCTAACTCCATCACTTAAAGCCTTGTGACTCTGGGTCAGTTACTTAACATCTTCAAGATTCCGCTTCCTGCTGTGAGGCTTCAATGAGATAAGGTAAAGAAATTCATTGCTCCCTGTGTACAGCAAAGCTCTACGCATGGCACCAACTTCAAAATCACTTGGGGAGGCAATAGAGAAACGTTTCATTTCTAACACTTATTTTAATTTAGAAGTCTAGGAATTTCAACTCAGAAAAGGAGGATGATAATGGTTGCACACCTCAAAGAATATATAATCAATATCACTGAACTGCACACGTAGAAACTGTTGAAACGGTGTACGTTCTGCTGTGTATATTCTCAACAAAAATAAATAAATTATTTAAAAAGGAATAATCTAGGGATTCACGTTTTTATAAAATAAAAATCCTTAAGAAAACCCAAAAGCCGTCTCCACTTGTTAACTGACTGCCTCCCATGTTCCTGGCACTTTGCAAAGCCCAGAAGACACAGACAAGCCAGAGGGTCTGTGCCTCGAAAAACTCCTAACCTGGGAGGGGGAGAGGCATGAGCCCATGCAACGTGCTAGTTCCCAAAACAGGGCCTGGCACTCACAGAGGCATAAGAAACTTGGGAGCAAAAAAAAGCATTAAGTACCACAGGACCAGGGTCTGTAACGCAGGTGGAAAGAGGTAAAGGCTTCACCATAACGCAGAGCTGAGTGGAAGCGGACCGGGCCGAGGAGCGAGCCAGCTCAGGCAGAAAGACAGTGCAGCAAAAGCCTGGTGGGAAGGAGCAGGGCTCATCACGACAGCTGCAGACAAGGTGACAATGAGATCTCCGAGCAATCACGAGGGACCAAGGGACTGACCAGTGAAGATGCTAGAAATACAGGCAGGGACCACACGCCATGTGCAAGACGCGAGGCTTTCAGAGTATAACTACCAGAACCATCCTAGCCTCTCTCCTCTTACTCTGTGCGGCGCCATGACCCAGCCCAGCCAAGGCCTCACCAGCCCCCTTTCTTGCATCACTTGCACTTCTTCCTACCCACCTCGGGGGCTTTGGCCCTGGTACCAGGCCGAGAGCCTCCTCTCTGGCCTCTGCCACCAACGCAGAAGCCTTCCCCACTCCAACCCCACACAGGGCACTCTCCTTCATTCCCACTGTTTCCGAGACATAGTATAGCTGGATACTGTACAAGGGACTGAAGATCCGTTCATCAAATATTCACCCAGCACCTGACAGGCATTCAGGTACCACCCTAGGTGCTGAGGATGCGCCAATAATCAAAGCCAAGAGAAGAAACTCCCTGCCCTCACAGACGTTCAGATGTAGTCGGGGGAGAAGGGCAAACGGCAGAGGATGATAAGCGCTATGGAGAAAAACGCACACATGGAGTGTCATATGGCAACAAGCTTTTTAAAACAGTGGTCAGGGAAGATGTCACTGACAAGGTGAAGTCTGAGCGAAGACCTTTAGGCAAGGAGCAAGCAGCCAGGTATTTGGGGGAAGGGCATTCTAAGCAGGAGGACCAGCAAATCCAACGGCGGGCAGCAGAGGGGTGCTGCAGGCCTTGGGGACAGCAGGGGCTGGCAAGCTGAAGCACAGTGGGAATGGAGCAGCGGAGACTCAGTGAGGCCCGAAGTGTAAAGATTTACCCACCGGGGCCTCCTAAATCAGGCAGGGGATCAGGGAAGGCTTCAGAGGAGAGAGGTCCAAGCTGAGAGGAAATGAAGGAAAAGCATGCACGCAGGGATGTCTGGGGGAGGGGAGGAGGTTTTAACAAAAACTGACCATGCAAAGGCCTGGGGAAAAAACATGGCAGCCAGAGAGGGGACAGGAAGAGGTCAGGCGAGGGCTGGATAGAAGCTGTGAAAGATGGAATACCGGGGGAGAGACAGGACTTTAATCCCAAGGGCAATGGAGATCCTCCAACGGGACTCACGTGATCACATTTGCATTTTAGAAAGACCAGGCGGGGTTTGAGATAGAGAACTGACTGAGGGGAGTCAAAAGGGAGGCAGGAACGCTCTCACTGATCCTCAGGACTCCATGATACAGCAGCAAAACACATGTGAAAACTTAGCAACTGGAAAGTAAAAACGTTGCTAATACACACACACTCTTCAATAGCATAACAAATCTAATTCATATTCTCAACCCATTCGAGGCCAACCCCATTCAATTTAAAAACTGTGGTCCCAACTGCTTCCACTAAGAAAAAATGCCGTTTTTCCCTGCATACACACAAGGGAAGCCTTATGGCTGGGGTTTTCACTCTGTAGACCATCAATCAGCTCAATCAACATTGTGCAATGTCTATCCTTGTATATTCTGTTGAAACCATTCAATATTACAGAAATTAAGATGCTCTGAAAACTCAAGCACAGCCATTTGGTTTTAGTAAGGCAGACTTCAAGCACAAAGTTAATAATCTAAGGTCTGTCTTGATTTTTTTTGTTTTTGTTTTTACTAGCAAACCAAATTTCATCAAATCCATCGACTCCTTCAAAAGCTATATTGCAACCTACTGACAAATGCAAAATGCTGATAAGTTTCTGGGTAACTAGCAGAAATCTTTTTCTCCTCAAATTGCTTATTGTAAATAACCATTCCCAAAAAAGAAATGAACAAATCACATACATGTGGTTTGTACAGTATGAGACTAATCCTTTAAAGCTTCCATTTCGCGTCTTGCTTTTGTATGCTGCATACTTTACACTTTTACCTTGCCCAGTGACAGACAATTAGGCAGTAAGGTACAGCAGAAACCTCATCACAGCTTGCTTCGTCTTGGTGGTAGGTACGTGATTGTTCTATCATTTGTTGTACTTCTATGTCTGCAATGTTTCATGACGATTTCTTAACATTGGAGATTAGCTATAAAGAGAAAAGGAAAGGAAACTGTCCTGCCTGGTAAACAGGGTCTTGGCTACGCAGTGTCACCTTGGTCCAGCCCCTTACTTTCCACTCAGTTCCGCCAGAGGGTCCGTTTCTGCTCCAACATAACTTATAAAAAGAGAGTCGAACAGGCCAAATGTTGGCATTAAAATGGGTGGATTGTTTACCCTAAATTATACCCATTTATTCAGTATTTAATGAGGACAAACCAGCAGAGGCTGGGCTGCCCACAGTGATCAGAGTCCCACCTCTGAGCTCATCCAGGAAGAGACAAAGGCGACGTGTGACCATTAACAGGCAGAGTACTCTGTGCTAAGAAAGGGAAGACAGGCGGCGCCCATGCCCAAGGACAGCCCATGCAAAGGCCTGGAGTCAGGACAGGGCATCAAGGATTTGGGGAACAAGGATACATTTAGTGTGGTACTTGCTCAGGGAATCAGGATGCTTCTCCAAAGCTGCATACGGTCTATAGCCATGAACAGGTCGCCAAAAAAAACCCCAAACTACCCTCTCCGTGTCAGAATATATGAATGAATACGAAGCCTTATGTCTTCAGTTCCTGGTGATTAACTAAAGCTTTTCCTTAGGTTATCTGCCCAGATTGAAAAGCTCAGGGCAAGATAAGTTTGGATTATTAACTTCAGCACCATCTTAGCACATCCTTTCATATGTGCTATTATCTGGTGAAGAGAATCCTATATCTTATGTAGCACATATTTTGTGACAATATTTTCTATCCTCTCACTTGCACTTTGTAAAAACTCTAATTCCGCCTTTTTACACTGAAACATCAAACCCTAAAAAAGGAAGTAACTAGTTTACATTCTACCACGTGAGTAAACATTTTAAAGTCTGACTACTTTTAGAAGGAGAGGACATCCGAAAAGGGGGCAGGCTCCATCCACTCCTAACTAATCCACAAGCTCTCTATTTTCTGGCCTGTTCTGCAATTCTGACTGATTCTTCATTTGATTCTTTACATTTATACAGGTACTGGTTTAAGAGCTGTGCGTAAATTGGTTGTCTAAAAACCATAAACCTAGTATCCAAGCCTGGCAGCCTTTTTACCTTCTTGTCCTGCTCTGTACGTCTCCACAGATTTCAAGTTACGTTAGTTTACACATCATATACGACTGTATCATATAGATGAACATGTGAATAAATTGCCATCATTCTTCAAAATTAGTAAAGTTACTTATCCAATACTGTTAAGTTGGAGGTTTACCAGCCTGTTAAGTTGGAGGTTTACCAGCCTATCTCCTAGCAAGGCAGTCAGAGAGGAAAGATTTTCATGCTGAACAGACAGGAGTTCTCACAACCCCGCAGTAACTCCTCACTTTACCAACCACTGGCCCAAGGGTGGCTGAGAAAATGGAAGGAAAGGAAATGACTCAAAGTAATCGTGCTTAAGGCATGAGTCCTCTTCATTTCCACTCGGCGGTTTAGATTTGAACTATCATCAGTTGTAAAGAATAGGAACACACAGAAAATACACCATGAAATGGTTGTGCTCACTAGACCTTGTTTCTTTCACGTTACTCTTTGGAGTTGTGCCTTTTAAATACTCTTTTTCTCAACATATTTAAATAACTAGGACATTTGAAACATTTGGGAGAAATAAAGAAGTTGAAGTCCCAGCTTCATAAATGGGATGATTCCTAACTTATTTTACATCTCGATCACCTCATTTAAAAAAAAAACAAACCATAAAGCAGAGTTAATATAAACGATGGGTGACACCTGTGTGAGGTAGTTAAGGTGTCTAATGATGAAGAAACACACATGTTGTTTAACACCTTTAACAGTCAGGGCATTGCAAGTCTGACCAAGAGTGGACTGGCAGTGCTGAAGAGCTTCTCCTACCCCAGCTGTGAATTCACTCCTTATCAAATTGTTTTCTTTATTTTTTTTTAAACAGGGTCGGTCTGTTTAAAAAAAAAAAAAAAAAACAGAGCCTTAAGTGTCTGCCTAAGAACGGTGACCGTCAGAAGACCAGTTTTGATTCTAAGTTTCGACATGAATGTCAAACATGTGCCTATCCGTGCCCTGCGCGCCGAGACGAGGAAGGATTCACACCGCACTGTGCCCCATACAATGCCCTCGTCCATCTTCCTGTGGACCGAGACTCAAGAAGGGCATGCTTTAAAGGCCGAGATTTTAAAGTGCCGAACACCAGAGCGGGGCAGGAACCAGAACCCTTTCCACAACGTGACCTGGCCTTCGAGGGCTGTCTCCTCCGCGCTAACGGAGCGGGGCGCGCCCTCGGGCGGAGCCGAGGCCCAGCGCGCGGACAGCCCACCCCGGCGGCG